TTTTTAAAAATTTTTTTTTTTTTTTTTTTTTTTTTTTTTTTTCAAGTGAAAAATTTTTGTTTTTAAACATTAGTTGTTTGTTCAAAATATATTGATAAATATATATAATTTGGTAGAGTGGATATGCCTGCCTTTGCTGAGTGTAGACTTACAAGTGTCATATTAGTTACGGCTATAGTTTCAGTAGGAGTGGTTGAAGCTATACACCAATATTTCCGTAAGCAAAATAGCTCATCATTAGACGTTCGCACTAGCACTGATACTAGTACTAGTACTAGTATTAATACTACTAGAGGTAAAGCTGTGACAAGAAAATTTCCAATCAAAGATTATGATGAAGAGTTGATTAGGGAACAGCTTGCGAGGAACTATGCTTTTCTCGGGGAAGAAGGAATAGCAAAAATTAGAAGTCAATTAGTGGTTGTTGTTGGTGCTGGAGGGGTTGGTTCCAACTGTGTGATTTCATTAATTAGATCAGGTGTATCCAAGATACGAATCATAGATTTTGATCAAGTTTCACTTTCTTCATTGAATAGACATGCGTGTGCGACTTTACTGGATGTTGGGACTTCAAAAGTAGAATGTTTGAAAAATCATATTTGGGAAATTGCTCCATGGTGTGAAGTTGAAGCTTTAAATGAGTTGTGGACTTTAGATAATGCATCAAGATTATTATCTGGTGGAACTTATTATGTTGATTGTATTGATAATATAGATACAAAAGTTGATTTGTTGGCTTATTGTTATGATAATAATTTAAAAATTATTTCTTCAATGGGGTCAGCTTGTAAAAGTGATCCTTCAAGAGTTAATATTGGAGATATTTCAACAACTGAAGAAGATCCTTTGGCTAAATCTGTTAGAAGACTTTTGAAAAAAAGAAAAAATATCATTACTGGTATTCCTGTTGTTTTCAGTTCTGAGAAACCTGATCCTAAAAAGGCTAAATTATTACCATTACCAGATGAAGAATTTGAAAAAGGAGATATTGGAGAATTAACTGCTTTAAAAAATTTTAGAGTAAGAATCTTGCCCGTATTAGGGACAATGCCATGTATATTTGGTTTAGCATTATCAACTTATATTATAACTGAAATTGCTGGTTATCCAGTAGAACCTATAGAGGGTAAAAATAGGTATAAAGTATATGATGGAATTTTACAAAGTTTAGCTGGACAACAATCAAGAATTGGTGAAGATGAACAAAGAACTCCAATTGCTTTAAGTGATGTTAATTATATAGTAGAAGAAGTTTTCAGAGGAAAATCACCAATTTCTAATTATTCAACCAGATTAACACTTTCACGTTGGATTAGAGATAAACCTTTAAGTTATCAAAATGTTGTATTAATGACAAAAGAAGAACAAAAAATTCATGAACAAAGAGTCTTAAATGGAGGTGAAAAAGTTGAAGATGTATATAGTAAAGAAGTTTTAGAAAGAATACAAAAAAGATTCCAAGAAGAAAAATGGTATAGTCAATTTAGATAGAGTTATACATAAATAAATATATATATATATATATATATTCGTTATTCACAAGATGGTTTTCTTTTTTTTTTTTTTCATTTTCTTTTTTTTAAAAAAAAATTAAACAATGTTTCTATATTCAAGAGTCTTTTTTCTTTTTTCTTTTCTTTTAAAAAAAACCAGCTATACCATTTTTGCTTTTTATTTGGAGGAGTACCAAATTTTGGATTAGATGCTGTAGGATCAACAATTATTTTTTTAATGTTTGAATTTGCCTTTGCTACAATATCTTTTGTTCCTTCTTTTGAAAGTGAATGTTTTAAACCATGTTCCTTATATGAGGCCTTGGCTGAAGAAGCCAATGTTTTCAATTTTGTTCTACCAACATTAAATCCAAAACTTCTTAATTTTGAAACTACTGCTGGAGTTATAGCTGCTGTTATTGGAAGTCTAATGAAAATAAGAGATTTATGAATTCCATATGCTAGAGCAAATTCAGCCAAGAAACTACTCTTATGTGATTTTTCTTTAGATATCAGTGTCTCACCTTGTTGATCAATATCATTTTCTTCTTGTTTCTTTTTACCAAAACCGAAAAATTCTTTTACTTTATCTTCATATTCACCAATTTTTTCTTCACCTTGAGAATGTACTAATAAATAACAAAGAGGCAAATCAATCATACTTAACCCCAAATAAACCCCAAGAGCACTATAACCATATTCTTGTATCAAAGCTTTAATTCCAGTTGGTTTCTTTTTCTCATCAGACAGTTTTGAAGAATTTAACCTTTTGCCTCCATTTGAAAAATTCTTTCTAATAACACCTAATGATCTATTCCTAATTAAAAAATTAATACCATCTCCAGAAAATTGAAATTGTCTCAATCCTTGTCTCAATCCATGTCCCAATCCGAACATCTTCCTTTCTAACTATACACTCTTTATTCTTATTAAAAAAATGATAAATTGATTACTTTCCAATGGCAACTGGTGCCAAAACTTTTTTGCCTTTTTTTTTTCTTCCTTTTAAACCGAGAAGAAAAACGGGCGGAAATCAGGCGGTGGCCCCGAGGGAGGAAGAGCTGACTTGAAAAACAGTTTTTTTCTCTTTAAAAAAAAAATATTAAGGAAAGAAGGAAAATAGTATAATATATATTTAAATTAAAGATACAAGAAGATATATATCCATATATAAAGATAGAGAAAGAGAAGATAGAAGTTAGATCGAAGGTTTTTGTTGAAAGGAGAAGAAGAAAAAAAAAATAAAAAAGTTAGGATTTTAATATAAAAAATTTGTATTAAATTTTATTGTTTCAATTATTGGTATTTATTTCATCTTTTATACCGAAGAATAGCTATTTTCATACATTATCAAATTTAAATTAGATTTCAACAAAGAAAAGGTAAAGCGAAATACTTTTCTTTCATTCAAAGAGAAGAGCAATTTAAAAGAAATTTCCACTGCAAATGAAAATTTTAAAAGAAATAAAACAAAAAACAAAATAAAAAAGACAAAAAAAAANAAAAAAAAAAACACAAAATTTAAAAGAGAAACCGTCTCAGTAATGCATTGAAAGTTTCCTCCTATAGAACTTCGAGATCATATTCATATTAAGATGGCTTCAGGAGGGAAAAATCAAGATAATGTTAT